AAATACGGTAACTAAAATTTTCTGCTCCCCAAAGTTTGAAATGAGAGACAAGGAATTTCTCCACATTACCATACTCATTTTTAGTTTTTATTTGATAACATTTTATCACCAAGCCCTCTCTTGTATTTCAATATATTTCTCTTTTTCAGCCAAGAACTTCACTCAAGCAGAGTGGACAATTATTGTTTAAAAATTGAGAGAAGCAAGCATTAAGTATATTTAGAAAGTCAGAGGTCGTTCAAATCAAAGGAGTCTCTAAATATTCATCTTCAAAACCTAATGGATATAAACTTTTAGATAACTGAATCACAAGAACTCATTTTTTTAACCAAATGTTGAAAAAGTAGCCTATTTTGTATTGAATAATCTATTTATTCTAACTTGACTTTCTTCCTCTGAGAAGAGATAAAAGAACTGATAATTAATTTAAATAAGAGTAATAAAGTATCAACTGTCATCTAGAAAACTTTAAATTGGTAAGATTTACAGCACTCCTTTTTCTTCTGCAAGCACCCCAAATTAAATACAAAAAAGTTTTAATCCTGCTGATTCTGTCAGCAGCAAATGGATGATAGGAGCCACCTATATTACATAGTCAAGAAATCTATGTTAAAATCTTTGTTCTAGCACAGGTTAACTGTACTGACCTACATTCCAGTAGACTATATGTATAGCAAACTGAAAACAATGAGAAATGCAATCTGAGATTTTCTTAAAGAATATCACTGTCCAGAAAGCCCTTGGAGGTGTGGAGGAGCAACTACTGTGGGAACCTCTTAAACTCATGCTTTTTGATCAAATGGACAGGTGGAGATCATAGTCAAGGAGGCTTTTGCACAGATAAGGTTGTTATGCTGATGTGCCTACAGCAACCTATCTTGAGTGAAAGGTTTTTATGATTGTAGCTCATGTCCTCATAAGCATTTACCCAATTTACTGCAATACCTTTTAGATGGTGCTGCATTTGAGGACTACTGAGAAATTTCAATTGATCCAAAATGTAGCAGCGTAATTCTTGGCAAGTACTTGTTGACATGACATCCATGTTTCACACCCTATAATATGTATCATTTTACTTGTTGAAGAGTTCTCAAACTCAAAAACACTGCATGTTATTAATGCTAGTTTGGTTGGATAGAATGGTGGCAGGGTCTTCTACGGAAGCTGGCAGCTGGACCAAAGCAGCCACCACCTGGTTTTCTCCTGCAATGTAAGCATTAATCAGGGACACTGAGATCTAAAGTAAACAATTCCCACAGACTAAATATAATTAAAAACCACAATACTAGCTGCTGTAATCAATTAACTATAGAACCTAGACTGATATTAACAGATACTAGAGGCATTTGCTATAGCATCAGCTACACTTCGTACAATAATCCACTTGCCTCTTAAATACAGAATTGCTTAGAAAAACAGGCAGAGGTCTTTCCAATTATTTGTTCTGAGTCAATAATACAAATACATTATATAAGGCACGTTCATATGACAATTTAAAAATGTCCCTAAGATATTTTCAATGCAATACCTATAATCTTGGGCAAATACAGCCAATCCAGAATAATAGCTGTAATTTTAAACAATAGGAACAATATTGTTTCTATTTGGTGCTCTTAAGCCATAATGAATAATGAAACATAATAAATGAAGCCATTCCTAGCTTTGAATTTTCTTGAAAAAGCATGGGGGAAAACTACAGGCACTTGAAGACATGTGTAGAATAATGAATTTTTAAACAAAAGATTAAAAGGGAAAAACTTGCAGACCAAAGTCACATTAACATATGTATCTGTAAAATGGCACTTTTATTAACAGTAAACTACAGTATCTTTCTTAGCTACATTTTTGATGGCTGATTTGAGTGCAATAAACAGTTCATATTCAGGTAAGATCAGAACTTTAATTAAAAAGGGCATTTCAGTTAATAATCACAGGTATGAACTCCAAAATTCTACCTCACATATTACTTGTATTGGGTCATCCAATAGAAGTGACACAGTTTCTTAAAAAAACTTTTCACTTTTAAAATCCTAGAACTGCAAACTTTCCATATTGCCACAACTGCCAGGGCTACCTACTTTTCATCCTGAACAAGAGAAATTGATATGTCTATTAAAAGATATACTGTTTGGACATGAATTGGAATGAGTATCTCTGGGAATTTCAAAGATAACTTCTCATAGTATTAGAAGACTCAAGACATTTTAAAATCTGATTCATAAGACAGGAATGGGGAAAAAATCTATGCACTTCAGCATCTGAAATATTGGCAACTGAAAAAATGATGCCCTTCACCAGCCGAGAATGAGCAAGAGCAGCCACAATGAAAGGGGAGGGGGATGACACCATAAAAGCATGTCCTGAATCATCTTCATATTCTACGATAAGGATAGGAAAGTTGATGGATGTAAAATGTGTTGGACTACATGCATCATGTGTTGGCTCCACCTCCGCCCAGTTTAGTGAAGAGGGGAAAAAATCACGATGTCACATGATGCTGCCATAATGATGTGAGTTTGTTACCCGTGTTGTACAATAACAGCAACAATCCCCGATCATCTGTCATACTGCTTGGAGGACAGCAGGTTCTACACTGCTGCTCTTAGGAACAATTGGCTCAAAACATATATATGGATCTAAGTCTAAGATCTCAAATCAGCAAATCAAATTTGTAAAACCACTACTAAATCTTTCCATTTATGTAAGAATCAAAATGTGAAATAAATTCGAATTTTACTGCAAGAGATTCCTATATTTCCAAAAAATCAAGCAGAAACTTCCAGAGCAAATTGTCATTGTAAAGACATATTCTAGACCAGTGTTTCTCAATCATGGCAACTTTAAGATGGGTTGATTTCAACTGCCAGAAGCCCTAACTCAGGGGGTTCCCAACCTTTTCTATACCCCACATCCCTAAAATGCTTTTGATATATTCTTGCACTCCTTACAAAAGTAAATAATTATATACATATAATTATGAATATACATTATAATTTTGAAACTTCTAAATCCAAGTTTTCGCACCCCCTGGAATATCCTCTCGCACCCTGGTTGGGAACCCCTGCCCTAACTAGTGTGTCAGCTGGGTAATTTTTAAGAATTGAAGTCCATGTGTCTTAAAGTTGCCATGGTTGAGAAACCGTGTCCTAGGTTTTCTTCTCATTTTCCATCTATTCCCCCATACAAACAACTGTAATACTGTAAACTTCCAAGTATTGATCCCAGAGTTCTAAATATAGTGAAATCATTATTAGCACCAATTACATCACTGCTACTTCTTTTACTACAGGTAGTCCTCAACTTATAACCCTTTATTTAACATCTATTCAAAGTTACAATGACACTGAAAAAAATGATTTACCACTGATCCTTGCTCTAACTACCATGGCCATGTGATCAAAATTGAGGTGCTTAGTAACCAGCATGTATTTACAACTGTTGCATGACCCCATGGTCATATGAACATCATCTGCCACCTTCCAAGTTTGTTTCTGTTGATGAGGAAAACTGGATTCACTTAGCAACGGCAATAATTCATTTAACAACCATGGAGAAAAGTTGTAGCATCAGGCAAGACTCATTTAACCACAGCTTTCCTTAACAACAGAAATTGTAATCTCAATTTGTGTTTGTAAGTCAAGGACTTTCTGTTGCTAAGCTCCTGAATTTTGATGACTTATTTGACAGGTTGGATTTTAACTCTCATCTGTTGCCACATAACAATATATTTTAAGAACTGCATATTGTAGGCCCACCTCCTTTAGAATGTAATTCATATAGACATCAGATATATTCGTGAATATTGACTACTTAATGCTAAGCAGTCGACCTTATAATGATAAGTGCTTAGGGCACTTAGGAATTGATTATTAATTTGAGGAAAAGAATACTCCACTGATACCAGATATGACTCATATATTTCATATGTGCAGTCTCATATATTGCCCTGTGTAAATCTCATTAAGGGTTTAGTATACTTTTCAAAAATATAATGCAAAGGAAATTTTAACCTATACTCAAAGCAAATGAATGGCAGAATTCTCTCCCCAAATATCAGCTTTGCCTACATGACCCATACAGTCTTTGTGACTTTTTTTGCCCAGAAAAAATCCTAGAGAAGGGTAGCTATGATACAGGCAAATCTGCAATGAAAATGGAAAATGTTCATGTATGATAAGCTAAATTGTAATTGTAACACCTCTGCCAATCCTAAAAGTTTCTGATGACAATTTTAATAGTTTATATTTTTCAATTATGCACAACTGAACTATCTAAACACTTCTAATTGAATTAATCTTTTCATCAAAAAAGGGTATTTCCTTGAGTAGCAGCTCCTTTTTTAGTAATCTGCAACTATTTATCCTTCAATATAGTATACAAACTACTGTATCAGATAGTATTGATGACAGAAAGTTAATTTAAGTAAAACTCTCTAATCTCTACTATTATCTTTGCTTGGGGTGATGTAATTGAGAAAGGAAAAAAAAACAAAGTACTTTCTTCTGCAGAAATATTTACTTCAAGAACATATCTGAATTCAATTTCACAACTATCACATATCAGCTGCTGGAATCAAACAAAATTCCTAAAATAGCATGACATAAGGTGAGTTGTCCATTTCTAAGTCTTCTAAATAAGTTGCAAACAAGTTCTTACATTTATAATGTACTAAGAATCAAGATGAAAAAAGTAAATTAACTACTTTTATACAAGGTGAGTAACTGCACAGTCAGGGAGATACCTGATTAGGTCACTATAAATATTTATATATATATATATAAAATCAGTGAAAGCTTGAGTGATTTTAATACAAACGTACATATAATAATGAACTGAATCACTTTGATAGTTGACCAGGATTTCCAACTTTTATTTTATTACTTACAAGAAAAAAACACTGTTTACTCCAAACCAACCTGTCAGTTTAGAGGCTGATTAATAATACGGAACAAAATCTTTGGTATTGTAAATTTTATTAGCCACCTAAACTTGCAACATACCTCTAAACAAAAAACAGGAGCTGATTATGCCATAGCATAGTGAGCATCATGCGGTTTACAGAATCCAATGATATGTTTATTAAAAGTATTTCTAACTATCTAGGTAACTATTTATACAAGAATTAGTGGCGGTTTATTAAAATGGGAATATTTCAGGTTTTGAAACGGCTGTCGAAGGTGAGACAGCTTATTAAGAATCCCATTCATGGAAATTTTATTTTGAAAGCCCTACTAGGAAAGGTATCCTTCAGAAATTAAGTAACAAGATGCAATAGTCCCTTCTACTTTTTCCAAATATTTGGATTGCAATCCATGCTTACATTTAAGACCACACAGAACCTTTCGCCTCGTACTAGGCGTTTTATTTGGCCGCCTGGGAAAAGGACGGGAAAAGAGAGAAGGGTAAGGCGTAAGAGAACATTTGAAGGGAAGAGAAAGTTTAGGGGAATCACCAGGTAGGCAGCTGAGTTTTAAAAGCAGCCGTTAAAGGGTCAACGGTCGGCAGCGCGGACCACCCGGTCACAAGCTGCTATCGAGCTCGACACGGAGACCAATTGCGGCCTGGCTAGTCAGGATGCCGCTCCCCCCCGCGCCACTTCAGCCTTCCCGGTCAGGTTACAAAACACGAGAAAGGCTGTGCCCTGGGAGCCAAGAAAGGCGCCAGTCCCCAGCCAAAGGAAACAGCCAGCAAAGGCCTCCGCTCTTGGGGAGTCTCTGCGAGCCAAGGCACACAACCCCCGAGCTCTCCTGAAATGCCAGGTGGGGGCGGCGCTAGGAGAGGAGCAGCGCCAGGCCGGGCCTACGGGAACCACCGCCTTCAGCAGGCGGGCACGGCGCGAAAGGCGGAGCGGCCCAGAGGCGCTCCTTCCTCCAGAGCCAGCCAGCCTTCCCGTTCCCCCTCCACCAACTATCGCTGCCTACCAGCCGGCTGCCCTTCAGGCCCGGGCCGCAGCCGCTACCACCACCGCCGCTTCCCCCTGCTCGACGACAAAATGGCGGCGGCAGGAAGTATCATCAGCACCCGCCCCGCCCAGGCTCCCTCACTGCGCCACCCGCGCACTAAGACCGGACTCCCCGGGCGCCGAGAGTCTCCTCTCTTTCGGCGCACGGACGGAGATCTACCCCGGCGCGCAGCCATCCAGATCAGCCGGCAAAGGCGGGAAGCGCCCTGGAAACGGGAGTCCGACTTCCTAGCGGTACGCGCTGAGGACACAGACACGCTTACGACAATCACGTATCCTACAGGGGGGAAACGACGACGCTTTTACGCAAACTCCGCATCCTCTCCAAGCCCTCCTCAGCACCTACCGCAATCCGCGTAACCGTGCAAAATACCAAATCGACTACCACGCAATAGCTCCCGCAGACAATATGTCCGGTAGCTGCGAAATATGCATAAAGCCAGATGGAGAAAATGCTCCTTCCACTCTCGGAAAAACTAGGAAAACCCCCATCAACCAACGGCGCAGATTCAAAAGACCTTTGCGCAATAGGCCCCGGCGCAAAATACGTAATCCGCCTGACGCAACGGTCACATTACGCAATGCGGGTTACGCCGGCAAGGCAACGTAATTACCCAAGGAGAATACCAACCTCCGCAGCCTCTCCCGGCCCGGCCCGGCCCAGCTCTTACCTGATAGCAAACGATAAACCGCAAGCAGGCTGTGTTGCCAGCAATCTTCTTATCGGGGCAAATACCGTATAACCCCGGCCGCAGACAAAGCTCCACACTCCTCCTGGAGGGCCGAGTACCTCAAGAAAAAAACGACTAAAGCAGACCGAGCGACGGGCAGCGGGACCAGCAACGGCGGCACTACGCTGACCTCACCGCGCAGCGCGTTACGTCATCACGCAGCAAGCCCCGCCTCGCGTAAAACAGAGGACTTCGAATTCTCAGCCACGCCTCTTGAATCGAACGGCGGTGGGACTGGCGAGGAGAGTGAAATTGCCTTCATTTCTGCGACAGGACTCGGGAGCGAGCGGGAAGTGGAGTGGATGACGCCTCCGTATTTAAGAGATCCCTATTGCTAAGGACGCTGCCTTTCCTTCAATAATGCCGCAGTTTCGAGAGGGTTTTTCCTCCCCTGTCATTGCCTCTTAGCTTTCTCTCCAGCACGACACCAGCACCAAGAAGCCAGGTGATCAAGGTCCCTCTCCCTCTTGCCAAGATACAGCATTCCAGATCGGTCCATTAGTGAGGGCCACTGTCAGATCGATCTCCGAATTCACGTGCCGCCGCTTTGTCTGAAGGGTTTTAACGTGACACCACACCTACTTTATCAGCTCTCTGCTGCTCCCGAACTCAAAAAACGGTGGCTTCTTCGATTGAGTTCTCCGTGATGATTCACTTTCTTCCCATAAAGCGGGGCTCCCAGATCCGACCTGCCCAAAAAAAAAAAAAAAAAAAAAACAGGATCACCGCTAGATGGATTCGCGGGTGTTTATTTTTTTAATATCTGTGATGCCTTCAATTTTTTTTTTTTGCTCTCCACCTCTGAAGATCAGACCGAATATAAGCAACGGAAGGCATCGCTAATGCACATAGACCCAAACAAGCTTTCCCGCCGTGCAAATGTACTGATTTGAAAATTCTGAATCTGTCCCCAAAGGTGCTTTTTCAAGAGGCAATTCGGCTTTCTCGATTTTCTCTGTGAAGACGTTTCGCTTCTCATCCAAGAAGCTTCTTCTGAGCTGAAAAAGCTGCTTGGATGAGAAACAGAACGTCTTCAAAGAAAAACCAGAAAACCCGAATTGCCTCTTGAAAAAGCACCTTTGGGACAACCATGACCTGGATGACTGAGAATCTCTGCCCGTACTCAGAAGCATCTGAGGAAGCAATGTCCCTTAGAGCGGTTACTTGTAAGCCTCTCTTCTCCTCACCTCCTTCTCCACAGACCGAAGGTTGGTCCGCCAATCGTTCCTCTTCAGCACTTTATGAGAAAAGAGCCTCCGTGTAGTAAAGGGCGCCCTCGTTCAAGCGTAGGCATAGCGAGCCGGCGGAGCGGTAGGAGCGGCCTTGTTCTCGCCAAGGACTTTAACCATCCAGGCACCCTTAGCTCCCAACCTTCGCGGCTGCGGCGCAAATGACGAGCGGCCGCCTTGGAGCGGAAGCTTTGCAAGAGCGGACAAGGAAAACGACGCCAGCTTTCTCCTAGACAAGTTAAGTGAATTTGGCTCCTCAGTTTTCTTGTCACAAGGTGGTGTAGGAATCCACCCCCTCCCCAGATTAAAATATTCTTTATTCTTAATATTAAGAGAGGCAGAGTATTATATTACCTCAAAGGAGAAATGGAGAAACATGCTCTTAAAGGCAGAAAGCAACCCCAGTTCCCAGCAATGGTAAAACAGCCTCCAGCAGATACCTGAAGTCTTTAGAGATGGATATTTTGTGCCCATTCAGGAAGACTGATCCAATCTATTCACAAACAAAACACCTTCAGCTCCAGATGATGAGATTAAAATTTACATTTCCCACCCAAATTCTAATAACAGGACATGACCTTTAGGACATAATAGGATTAACCTACCATCATTAAAATAGCAAAAGACACAAGTCTCACTATATTGCACAACCCTCTAGAGCAGAACCCTCTAAAAATCCATTTCTAAACCAGGGATTCAGCCACCCCAGAAACATGTTTCTGTCAATGAATTTTCTGCAATCCAAATAAACCTTTCCTTGCAACCAGTCAACCTCCATTTTATTTCTAGCGCCTTTCTCCTGGCTTGGAACTGGACCGGATTTTTCTTCTAACAGTGGCAAATGTTGATCACATAGCTCTGGGACGCTGCAACAGTCATGAGTAAGTTGCCAAGCATCTGAATTTTGATCATGTGACTTTGGGGATGCTGCAATGGTCTGAAATGTGAAAAATGATCATAAGTCACTTTTTTCAGTGCCATTGCAACATTGAACGGACATTAAATGAACTGTTGTAAGTCGAGGACTACCTATAATTTCAGCACTCCCTGACACCACTTTTTACTCCAGATGATGAATGAGGATTTATTTTGCTTCCATTGTCTGTCTTAATAGCACATAGATTAACTAAGTGGATGTGGAGAGAGACTAGTGAAAGCATAACAGTCAGAAGCATGGCTACCACTGGCAGTTATTAGCTACCCAACTATCGTTCATCCAAGATTTATTTATCTGGGACCTTTTCCAAATAAGACACACTGCTCTGGAAGCAGCCATGTACTGTGCAGAAATAAATTACATAAAACTTACTTCAGTGTTCTCACTACAGTATAAATAGTAATGCTTGTATAAACCAATCAATCAGTTGCAGAGAAAATGGGAATGCCTGTGGGCAACAGACAAAAATGTATCTAGAGGCCTAGACTAATGAAAGATAAATATTCCTCTGGAATTTGCCTATTCATAATTTTTGGAAGAATACCTTATGTATCTGTACAGTAGTATAGGTAGACCTCAACTTTCAACCATTCAGTTAATGGCTAAAATTACAATGGCACTAAAAAAAGTGATACAACCAATTCTCACATTTAACAACCATTGTAGCATCCCCACAGTCATGTGATCAAAATTTGGAAGCTTGGCGACCAGCATGAAGCGAAACGTCTTCAAAGAAAATCAGAAAGTCCACTTGCCTTGAAAGAAATTTGCCTATTATGTTTTACTGAGAAGAAAAAGTAATTCAGTCATTAGCTCTTCGTTTTAATTTGAAGAACATGTATAAAATTCAGCTGTAACATTTATTAATCCTAATCACGGAACCTGAACTATGAAATATGAAATAAATAGTACTGGATCATAACTATATTTCTTTCAAGTTTGAATAAACTACAAATGGGATGTAGAATGAGATCCAACAAAATTCTAGAATTATACAAGTTGGAAGGAATCATTTAGATTATGTAGACCCATATCCTGCTCAGTATAGGAATCCAGATTAAAGCATCTTATTTCAATGTAGCTTGTAGATATCTTAACAAAAATTGGTTATCACCAGTCTGGATAATTGGGTGCACAATTGAATTGCTATTATTACTGGGTGGGTGTGTACTTTTTCTAATTCTCAACCTTTTCTCTACCATAGACCTCCTTTAAATTAAATTAAACCTTTTGTGGCCACATACCATGGCCACAGACCAGCAAGACTTAACTCAAGATTTAAATCTTAACTTAAAACTTAAGTCTTCAAGCCTTTGTGGACCCCCTATGAGGACATTGTGCCTCCCTGGGGGTCCACGGACCACAGGTTGAGAACCACTGTTTTAATTTAAAAGAAGCAGTTTATTTATTCTGTTAATTTGCAGAATTCTGGCCAATAACCACAATGAAGAGCTAACTGAATGACTGGTTTTCTTAGTTTTTTTGTGCAGAAAAGAGTTATCTGCAAGAAAGCAGACATGTTCGACATCTACACATTTAAGCTCAATTCCTTTTTTTGGGAAAATGTGTGGATGTAGCACATCCATTGTGTAAAATGGAAGCACATCTGCTAACTGAAGCAGAGGAATAAATTATACATTATACCTCAAATGCTGCCCCAAAGTCCCTACTATAGTGTTAAGCTGAGCAGAATTTGAAAACCTTTGCAGGTTGCAAGTACAGAAGGTTCTGTCGTATTATAAAAAATCCACTAAGCAGGCCTGTCAAATTAGCAGCCCGTGGGCCAGATGCATCACGCACAGGCCACACCCACTCTTGCTCCGCAAAGGCAAAAAAATGTCATGATACATCAGACGCGATTGAGTTTGACACCGGTGCACTAGCGCAAAGTTGAATTCTAAACACTAATATTTTTTCCAACATCCAAGGTTGATCCTTAGCTCTTTCGATTCCACAATTCTGATTGCTTTAATTTATATCACCAGAACTACAGAATTAAAGCAAATGTCATAAATTAACACCAATGTCATAAATTAACACCAATGTCACAAATTAACAATTAAAACCAAATCAATATATTTGCAAAAACCTTCTCCAACAGAAAAGCTCCAAATTTTCCACTGTGACTCTTAGCTATCCTTATCTTTTTCTCCAGTAGTTTTGCTTCCTCTTCTACAAACATATTGGAAGAAAATGTTACCTAACCAGTATAGTAACAAATCTGTGGGTTTGTGGTGTAGTTTTCAGTAGCACATGACTAAGAGCAGACCGTTTGAAACTGTAGCTCAAAATATATGGAATAATCACATGATATACCCTAATTCACTTACTATGTCTGTATTATATGAATAGTTTGCAGATCTTGACGAAAATCACATTTATTGTGAGGAACTTCTTTATACTGAGTCTGTATGTCTGGAAACAATGATGAACAGAAAACACCTATATTAAGTAATATACATGCAACTTTTTCAGAACTGTGATGACATAAGAACATTGTTTCAGATGTAAAACAGGGTTGTTATACAAAATACTTGCCAAACAGAATGGTGAAGGAATGTTCCATTCTCATACAAATTGATAGGTAGAACATACCATTTTTCAAATTCCATCAGTAGAGGGAATTTTTTCATAAGGGTTCTATCCTGGGCCAAGTACTTTTCAGTATTTTCATAAAGCTGTTAAAAGAGGGGATAGAATTATGCTCAGCAAATTTGCATATGATACAGTGTTGGGGTGTATTGTTAAGCGAAGCAAAGTTCAAAGGATTTTGATAATCTTGAACACTGGACTTCTAACAAGGGTGTTAGAAGAATACCCTTCTAACAAAACACAATTAATTGGTAAGAAATGTAGGGCTGTGAATTTGCATAGGAAAAAATGGATGCAAGCTACAACATAGGAAACATCTGGATGTTCTTGTACACCACAGTTTAAGTATGAGTCAGTAATATGTGACAGAGATGCTACAATATCTAGCAGTATCAACATATGTATGAGATTGCTGGAAGTTAGTTTTCTATGCTGACTGATCAGATCCTACCTGGAATACTATGCCCAATTCTTATCACCATAATACAAGAAAATGCTGAACTGGAAAGAATGGAATGAAGATGGTGAGAGGCTTAGAGAACTGGGTATGTTATGCCAAGAAGTCTGAAGAGTGTTCCCTCCATTAGTAGGTCAGACTAAAGGATAAACTCCACGGGAAGATATAACTATACAAGTAGTTGTCAGGTGATTATGGCAATTGGCCTGCCATTGCTAAGCAATGCGGTCATACAGTGCAATATCATGTGATCATGTGACTTAGCAATGGCAGTTCTAAGATTGCAGTTAATCCTTATTGCAGTCATTAAGTGAGGACCATAAGGGTTGTTGACCAAGGAACTCACTTGACTACAATTTTTGACTTCCTGCTGGCTTCCCCATTGACTTCACTTGTGGGGAACCACTAGAGAACACTGGTAAATGTGGCCGTGCAATAGTGAGGACCCTGCAACGGCTGCAACTAAGGATCAATTTTAAGTACCATTCACTCAGTGCCATCCTAACCTTGAACAGTGGTCAAATGAATGGTTGCAAACCTGAAGACTATCTGTACTTTATTGAGATTAAAACCTTGAATATGTGATTGTGTTATCCTTCCTGAATGGGGGATGTTTCTACTTCCAAATATTACCTTGCTTTCCAGAACTTAAAATGTTTCAGCCTTCTTTGACTATAATAGCCATTTCCCAACACTTGGTGCTGTCATGGGGAAAAGGGTATGGATGTATTATCCATATCTCACAAGGTAAGAATAGAACAAATAGGTTAAAGTTTTGCAAAGGAAGAATTAAGCTTGAAATTAGAAGGAATTTCCTGAAAGCAACATTAGGCAATGGAACAGTCTGCCTTCAGGAGTCATGGTTTTCACATCATCACAGTAGGCTTTCAAGCAAAGTTTGGAAAGCCATTTATCTGGGATAGTATAAGGATTCTTGTCTTGGGCAAGGCACTGGAATACACCTCCAAGGTCGTTCCAAATTCTGACTATTGTGCAAGTATCGGAAATTGATCAATAAAAAAGTTATATAATTAGCAGTTTGTTATTCATTAAGTAGACATGTGACTGTTTTGCTTGCAGAAAATGAACATGGGCTCCCCAGCTGGAAATTATACACAAATTTGAAAACTTATGCCCACAAAGCAGACTCTAGAAAGAGTGCTGAGAAAAGCAACAAAAATGATTAGGGGACTGGAGGCTAAAACATATGAAGAACGGTTGCAGGAACTGGGTATGTCTAGTTTCATGAAAAGAAGGACTAGGGGAGACACAGCTGTGTCCCAATATCTCAGTGGCTGCCACAAAGAAGAGGGAATCAATCTATTCTCCAAAGTACCTGAGGGTAGGACAAGAAGCAATGGATGGAAACTATCAAGGAGAGAAGCAACTTAGGACTAAGGAGACATTTCCTGACAGTTAGAACAATTACCATAATCAGTGGAACAACTTGCCTCCAGAAGTTGTGAATGCTGCAACACTGGAAGTTTTTAAGATGTTGGATAACTTGAAGCGGTTATCTGAAGTGGTGTAGGGTTTCTTAAGAAGGGGGTTGGATTAGAAGATCTTTAAGGTCCCTTCTAACTCCGTTATTCTGTGATGAAAGCACATGTTTTGCTAAGTAGTTGGAGTTATAGCATATCAGCCATGTATATAGTGTGTAGAGTCCTACTACTGTGGTTTATTCAATAAAGATTGATTAACAAGTCACGTAGTACAATGTGATGATTAGGTCCTTGGAAATGAGCACTCATAAAATGCAAAGAAAAATGTTTATGGCCAACAGTAGGTATTTTAATTCCAGGCTATCAACAGTTTTGAGTGATCTTACTAACAAACGTTGATGGAATCTAGATAGTCTGCTTTACAAGCTGTTGTGAATGGAAGCCAATGCATTTACTAAAATAGGTAGTCACACATTGAATAACTAGATAAGACCTCATTCCCATGCCATCCTTGGTTCTTGTTTAATGCATAGTTGGGTTGTCTAATTAGGAACATGGGCAGAATATAAATATATTAAATGAAATAAATAAAACTTCAAAATAGCGCCCTTTTGTGGAGCTTTATAATATGATCTTAGCGAACATGTACATTTTTTTCATAGGAACTGGATAGAATATAAAGATTTCTCTGCCCATTTTGATTATACAACTACTGACAAAAGAAAAATGCTTAGAAATCATTTAAAACATGTTATTTAGGTACGGCCAAAATTTGTAAGCATAGTTATGCAATACATTTTAAATCATTTATGTGCAGAAAAAAAATCATAAAAATATTGTTAGAGAATATTTTTGTCTCTGTTTTTTTTTCTCATAAAAAGTTGAAATTGCTATTATTCTATTTAATTGATAAAAATTGACCTGGAATTAATATCTATTCAGCTTTTTATACACCATCAGAAAAGTTTAATTCTTTTATCTAATAGCTGTCATTTTGAAATAAGAAAAGAACTCAGCACCCTGAACTACAACACTCAATACAGATCTTTTAGCTTGAGTAAATTATGTTTTCAGTGCCTGTTTTGGAGCCAATTAAACTAACACCAGACAGTAATTTTCCATGTTGGAAGTTTATTTAATTGCTAATTCAACAAAAGAAGAGTGTTCATTCTACTTTCAAATGCTATGCTACAAGCATCAATCATAACAATTTATCTATGTTTTATCTATGATATTGCTTCCTTATTCCTGGCCTGGAGCAGTTTTTGGCAATCTACTCTCTGAATAATACCTCTCTGACAGATTTTGGGAGACAAGAGGGAAGTGAGACTACAGTGTTGCTATAACATTCCTCCTTGTGTATGCTTCTCTATCAACATAATGAAGAAGCACCAGTTTATCATTCCCTGTACAACTTCTGAAATAATGCACAGCATAAAAGACAACTCAAGTGTGATACACAGTAAGTTTGTGCTTAACATTTTGTATATACTTACAGATGCTATTTTTCATGCAATACTGCAAACTGAATAAATGACATTAACAGTCGTTATGGCAGCAAGTTCTTTTTCCAGAAAGTTAGATGAATCATCAATTTTACGGTGGGCAGGGGGGGAAATAAATACATTTAATACCTACTCCCTCCCTAATAAGAAGGTTAATTCTGTTTTAAAAATGAAGCCATATTTCCTTTTTGCATCGGAAAGTGAAAGCCAAAGAGATTTCAATATCAACACATTTATTTATTCTAGATGCAGGAAGGTATCAATGTACAGCTAAGGAACCTGACCAGCTTGCCAATTTCTATCTTATTCACAATACAGTACAAGACTGTTTCCCATACAGAAAGATGAATCCTTTGCTTCAGACAAAAACAAAGCTGGCAGCAATTCAGGAATATACATCAAAAGATTATGAAGAGGAAGTACTGAAAAGATTATATAGCAAAGCAGGAAAAACACCTTCACATAATCATTCATTCCTGAGACAGCTCTGTATTTGTTACCCCCACAGGATCCTCCTCAATACTGCTGTTTTCAGATATTATTATTTCAGGGGCATTTTCCTTCCCTTCCTCCACAAGCTGCTGCTTTTCCACTTGGTCTTCTTCGGCTTTTTCATCAAGATTTTCTTGAGGAGTTACTTCTGCTGTTTCTGATACACCTGGACTCTCTTCTGCCTGTTCGTCCTTCACGTCAGTTTCACCTTTTGAAGAACCTGTAGCAGAGCAAGGTGCTTCATCCTCTTCTGCTTTACTAGATTCACTGACTTCACTGGCTTCGATCACCTCCCCAGTATTCTCCCTTTTCTCTAGAGTAGCACTTTCCTTTTCACCTTCAGCACCTTCTAAAACTTCAGATTCTTCAACATCTTGGTCAATACTTCCATCTGTAAATGGATCATCACCCTGATGAAGGGAGGAAGTACAATGTTATCAGAGTTTAACCATCTGATCTTGTCTTAGACTCTCAGACCTAGAACACAGAGGTTTGAGACTGAATGTCTGAAAAGTGAGCATCTACTTCAGTGCAGAAGGGCTCATTCTTTCTCAAATTCTCCAAGAATTTTTTTCTATATTTTATTCAAGTTTTTAAAAAACATATCATTGTTGGCCAATAAACATCCTGAGACTGGCTAAGTCTCCAACTTACAGTAGGAAGAAAGGACTCCAATGAGTTCACTATAGATTTATAAGGGCAATTTTACAATAAATGGAGTAAATACTTGCTAAAATACAGTATTAGTGACCTCTGAAGACTATTCATTTCTCAAATTACTTTTAGAGCATACAATTTAAGGGCAGAAATGCCAATCTTTAAGAAATGGCGAGTTTTATTTAACAGCCAACAAGTCATCTCTCTCTGATCCTATTAGCAAAGTCCAGCAATGACTCAGAGCTATAAATAATAATGGATACTTACAGATTTCAGTGGTATTATTAAGTAGATTACTTTTTGTCCAAGAACTCTCTGTGACAACTGTACTGGGAATTGTACATATAGAAGCCATGCTAATTTTATTCAGATTGAGGTCAGGTTTTGGCACTGTCTACCACAGGAACAGAGCTTTGTTTGGTTCTAAAGAGGTTTTTAGTTCTTTAATAAAGAAAATACCATATGAAAGCATGAGGCATACACTAATGATATGCCTGTCTATACCACGATAGTATCCAAAATCACTATGTTCCATACTCCCCATCCTTGTAACTTTTCTCTAATATGTGTACAACAAATAGCAGCAGCATGCTAAGGGCAGAATCTAGTCAATTACCTCATTACATAGAAGCAACAATTTCTGAACTCCTATTTTCATGGGGACAGTAAGTGAAGAGACCCCTGCCTCTCTGTATCCAATGAATCCCACCCACAAAACTGGGTTAAATAATACAATAATGATTCCTGTATCCAGGAATTAAGTATCTGTTCTATGATCCAGCAGGATCAAATTCAGACCCGATTGCTTCCATGAAAGAAGATTCATGCATGTGTAACATAAGTAGCGCCATCTTCTTTGGCTGACAAATCAGCCAACTGGCCTTATTTATTGATATTCTGGACTTTTTAAAGAGCATTAGGCTCTACCCTGCAATTTGGATTTGTCCATTAATCACTATTAAAGAAAATGGGTAGAGGGATTCAGAGTCCCAGACTGGTAGAGACTGTCACAGGCTTCCTCAGGAAGGGCAAGGTGCCATCATCCTTTAGGACAGGAAGCATTAGGTTAGTATTCAAGACTCATCTCCTCATCTCAATCTCACCCTGCCTTCAGCCTTCCTTTCTTGGGGAGGGTGATGAGAAGTGTTTTGATGGGGCATCTCTGGCATTACCTGGAATCCTTAGATTTCCTTCACCCCTTTCAGCTTGATTTTGCACCTGGGTATGGTACGGAGACAGTGCTGGGTGGGTCGAAGATCTCCTCCTGCTGATGGACAAAGGTCAGGGGTCCATGCTGATTCTGTTAGACCTGTCGGCAGCCTTTGATACTGTTGATCATGAGGTGTTGCTGAGGCACCTGCGGACCCTAGCAGGGGTAGACGGAGTTGCGCTTGAGTGGTTCCATTTTTTTCCTCCGAGAGATCCCAGAGGGTGGCATTGGGCAACTGCTCATCTGCCCCAGGGCTCTCTCATGTGAGCTACCGCAGGGTTTATTTTGTCACCCCTCTTGTTCAACGTGTATGAGAGGCCGCTAAGGGAAGACAGCCTCAATATATGGGCCATGAGTACCAGTAAGAGGCTGATGTTCTCAGCTCAAAGTCTCTTTCAATGGACCCGGAGAGCAATGTCTCGATTTTGCTAGTGCTTGCCTAATAGGAACTAGTTAATTGGCAGGTGGTCAGTCTGAGTAAGACCAAAGTGTTGCCAGTGGGAGTGGGTGCAGACACACAAGACCCCATGATTCATGTTTGCCAAAAGAGGGTCCCTGTTGAATCTTGGATGGCTCCTGGATTCCCAGGACATAGTAGCAGCCAAACTTGCTTTTCATCTTCACTTGGACGATTGCAATCTTTCCTCTCAGAAGTGGAAGTCATCAATTATCTATGACTAGGTATGTTATATAAGAAAACCCTTGATGGTCACCAGAAGTTTTCACATGGCATGCAAGTGCCCATTTAGGCATGCACTCTTTCCATCATGGGTTTATCACACTCCTGCTTTGGAGACTGTACTGTCTTTTCAATTCTTAGCAAGGCAAAATGCTAATCTGATCATGACCCACAGAGCTATATGCAAGTATTTTTGTCACCTAATGTATCAGTGTCTAACAACTGAATTTGGCTAAGCTGATGTCAATTATTTCCATACAGGATTTTTGGGAATACATGGAAATAATGCTTTGATTTTGGAATATTGGGAGATCAAAGCAGAGCTATTTCATTCAAGAAAGATTATTCCTTGCCATAAGCAAGAAACCCAGTGCTTTATCCACAAACAAAAATATTTCAAGCAGTGCTGATTTGGGGCACTAAGTTCCCATTTAGGGTTTTACTATACTGTTTTCATCAGATTTAATTTTAATTCCTTCCTCACCACTTAGAAACAGCTAAAGACGTCTTATACATTTTCTGTTAATCATTAGAATAAGTATCCAACTTATCCAACATATCTGGAAAAAGTGAATTCCATACTATTTCTAGGCTCAACTATACATAATTGTACAAATAGCATTGTTTCTTCATTTTATATGAAAGTTACATGCAGCATACTCAGTAACTAATAAAATGCTCAGTCAAGTTCAAACTGGAGTTCTGCTCCACTGCTCTGACAGAAGTTGGACTGAGCAGCAAATATCCTGCTTTCTTACCTTGAGGTACTTTTCTAGCATTTTCACAATGTGCTTGCTATTTAGGACACTTTTAGCAATATGAAAACTAGCCTTCTTCAAATGTTCAGCAGCCGTCTGAAAAGTACATATAAAATGTGTAAGTAATTCTGATGAGTAAGTACAAAATAAACATGAGATTGTCATGGAAAATTGCAAATATTTAAGATTAAAAACAGTCACTAAATTCTTTTTATTAAACCTTTTGGGTTTTGGCCTACACAGTTACATAGGACTCAGTCTATAGTTTCTCTTATAGGACCTTGTTTTTAAGGTAGAGCAGGATAAAACATTTTTTCCTGCAGCTTGCCTTGTCCGATGAAGCCCCACTATACTTTTCCTAGTTTGTTCCAATTTGGAGAAAATTAACCAAAATCATTTTCCTTCAGCAGACCCTCAAATAGATTTCATTTCCTTTTATGTCTAGAAGACATTTTCCACTCATGGAAGTATTTCAAACCATGTTAATTAAAATCTTTATAAAATTTGAATATAGAATAGGAAATTAAAATATGATTGGGTAAAGCAAAGGTTCTTTAAATGTGTCTGTTATTTATACCACCTATTAGGGAAAAAAGTGATACTATATTTCTACAATACTTCAAACCATTTATATTTCAAAAACTTTCTTAGGTCTATAAGTCATAAACTGTCCTTTTTCCTTCCTGCAGTAAGAATGATTTATTTCAGGTCCATTAACAGCATTCCTTCTCTTCTTCCCCCCCCCCCCCACTAATAATCACAATCTAGTTTAATGGCAGAACAAGTCAACTTTAATGCTTCTGAAAAATGAAAGCAAACCTTATACTACGGAAATATTTCTATAGTATTCATCATTTCTACTTAAATTGAAAAGTATCTGTCACCCTATAAAGAGGATTGGCAGTACTGAGAACACAATCGTAAGTATCTGATTTTGAACCTTACATTAACCTCTGATTTTTATACAGCAGGTTTGTTCGTATCAAACTGGAACTATCACACACACAATAGTGAAAGAGTAAGTAAGTACACTCCTTTAAAATTGTTAACATATTTTTTCACATATTTTAACATACAAATATTTTATGTTAATTTTATCATTAATTAAAAAAACCATACAGGCAAATTTTACATGTGGAAAAAGTATGTATGCCCCTATAGCCCTCATCAAATATGAATCAAGGGCATTATTAAGTTAGGTGCCAATGATTAGAAATCATTAGAGATGATCTGGAAGGAACCTGTCTTAGTTAAACCTCACACATTTAGTCTGATTTATTCTTCGTTGCTGAAGTGCATGGTACAACCTGGTCTAGATCAAAAGCGCTCTCTAAGACTTTTAGAAAGAAGTTTAGAAATGTCTTTGAGTCTGGGAAGGGATTTTAAAATATCACTAAACAATTGAATATTAATCATCCCACTATTTGGAAGATCATCTACAAGAGAATAGGATTTCAAACAACTGCCAACTTGTCCAGGCCAGGTGGTTCCAGCAAGTTCAACCCAAGAGCAGAATGCCAGATGCTGAAGGAAGTTGCTAAGAACTCCACAATTTTCCCGTCTGACCTTTCAGTTAGACCTTGCTACTACGCAAGCCGAAGTGTATAGGTCTACCATAAGAGACCATTAACAGTAACTGTGAGAGGGACTTTGGAGTCCTAGTAGATGATCATTTGAATATGAACCAGCAGTGTGCAGCCGCTGCCAAAAAAGCTAATACAATCCTGGGTTGTATAAACAGAGGCATAGAATCAAGATTACATGAAATATTAGTGCCACTTTATAAAACCGTAGTAAGACCACACCTGGAATACTGTAACCATTTTTGGTCACCATACTACAAAAAAGATGTTGAGACTTTGCAAAAAGTTCAAAGAAGAGCAACCAAGATGATCAAAAGCCTGGAAAGTAAACCATATGAAGAATGGCTGCAGGTTTTGGGTTTGGCTAGTCTAAGGAAAAGAAGAATTAGCGGTGACATGATAGCAATATTCCAGTATCTAAGGGGCTGCCACAAAGAGGAGGTCAAATTAGTCTCGAAATCATCGGAGGGCAGGGCAAGAAACAATGGTTAGAAACTAATCAAAGAGAGAAGCAATTTGCAATTAAGGAGAAACTTTCTAACGGTGATGACAATTAGGAAAAGACTGGAACTCAAGCAAAAATGGATCTTCAGACATGACCCTAAAATGCCAGTAAATCCATCAAGGGATGGTGAAAACAAAATGAATAGAGGCACGTGGAATGGCCAAATCAAAGCCCAGATTTAAATCCCATGAAGATGTTGTGGGGTGATTTGAACAAGGCTGTGCATGCAATAACTCCTCCAACACTGTACAATTGAAAAAAATGGAGGAATGGAAAAAAATAATCCCAAACAATATGAGAGACTGTGAGAAAGTTATAGTAAAACCCTCACTTGAAGTTGTTTCTGCCCAAGAGGGTGATATAAGTATTACAGCCAAGAGTGTACTTACTTTTTCCACAGGAGGATATGGCATATCTGCCAATTGTTGATTGAACAAATGATTGTTAAGTTGATTTTTCATAGTTTTTTTTGTGTAATTACATCCCCTTTTTCTTTATAGGTTATCATGAATAAAATATTGGTATGTCTACATACATTAAAAAAGAAAAAAAACTACATAGGGTGTATCTACTTTTTCATGGGACGTTATTAATAGTCTGAGTCTTATAAAATAATTATGTATACCACCTTGAAATGGTTTGGCTGACAAAAAAGGAGACCTGAAAATTCTTTCTACTTTAAGTGATCCCTGGATGAAAGATAGCTAACAAAATTAATTTATTTGTTCTTTCTACACGCCCATTTGCTGCAAGGCTGTTATCTTCCAGAGGTAATAGACTTGTCCAAAAGTAAATGAATTTATTTTGCTTACTCTGCGATTTCTATTGTGATCAACAGATCTCAGATGCCTCTGAAGAAGATGTTGTTGTGCGGGAATTAGCATGTCACAAGCCATACAGTGAGCAGCTTCTATCTTCTTAAAAAAGTGCTCCTGGCCAATTCCTGAAAAAATATAAATTGGAACAAAAGTTATTGACAACATTCTAGATATGCTACTAAAATTATAAAAGTTGTTCCCATAGAAATGAAACACATATTATTTACCAGAACAATAGCTATAGTCTGAATACATAAACCAGACTTCCTTGTTTAAAAATGTGCATATTGTCATAATCATTATTAAAATATCTAATCAACCCTTACAACATTTAAAAGTAACATCACTGAGAGCCAGTTTGGTGTAGTGGTTACTGTGCTGACCTAAAAACCAGGAGACTGTAAGTTCTAGCTTTGCCTTAGGCATGAAAACCAGGTGGGTGACCAATAGGAGGAGGAAGGAGTGTTATGTATGTTTGCCATCGTGTTATTTATAAAAAAAAACTAAGACAAAATAAAAATAAATAATCATGAAGAAAATTGTCTTTTTCAGATTGTCATGTAATATCTAATAGCATTATCAGGGGCGTAAACATAAAATAAAGTAACATTAATGAGAAATTTTAGGTGCAAGGGGAAAAAAGATTTTAGAGTAAGGAGTGCTTACAATTTTAGTAACGAAGTAATTCAAGATTCCCAATAAAGTTTTTATGAGATTCTAAGGAATTGGTAATATAAACCTGAAACTGATTTCTTTCACTACTCTCTGCCTGTTTTTGGTTCACTCCATCTTATATAGGATTGCACAACATTTGAGAAATTAGGAGCACAGTTCAATTCCCTAAACTTCCAAATGCAGCAGGAGGCCATGACCAGAAGAGGTGTGACTGAAATCAAAAGTCCCACCTTAAGCAAGTTTTATTCAGTAAAGGCATTACAGAGTTGTCAAAGAAAGGGTTTGTCCCGATATTAATTTTATTAATAGCAAATAGCACATAGACTTGCATGCCACTTCATATTGCTTTATAGCACTCTCTGGGAAGTTTCCAATGTCAGCATATTGCCTCCAACAATCTGGGTCATCATTTACCGACCTCGGAAGGATGGAAGTCTGAGTCAACCTTGAGTCTCAATAGGATCGAACACTAGACTATTGTCACAGCCACTTGCCACGGCCAACTCACCAGGGCCAACTTGCCACAACTAATATCAAAAAAATGGTAGAACAGAACCGTTAAAGAAAGGGTGCCAAAGGAGGGACACAATGAAATGTGAATGACAAAAATTATAATTTTTAATTTTTTAAAAAATAAATTGAATTGTTAAATTGTCCTGGAGTGATTTGTTCCATGATGAATTATCCTGTGGCAAATTATCCCATGGCGAGTTGTTCCATTTTGCAGGACTCATATCTATACATTCATACTCTACTCTACTCGACTAACTCCCTGAAACAGAACAACGGTAGTTTCACATGCTCTGGCTTTCTGATGCATAAGGCAACTTTCCTAATCAGGTGCCTGTAGACAAGTTGGCTTACAGTAAAGACTGAACCTAAAAGCATATGCTAGATCAGTCTCCCACAACTCAGTGTTCTAAGTGTCAAATTTCTACATTATCCTTGGAAATGCTGAAAGTGACCAATTAAACCTAAAGTCAAGGCACTCTCAGCAATTGAACTATATTGAGTGATATGCTCCCAAGGACTGTCCAGTCCAACCAAGGAAAGCTTTGCTCTAGTGGGAAAGTTTTGGACAAGGGATATGCCTTTTTGAATTCCTGGAGGGAGGGGAATAAAAAGAAATTTCTTAGCCTAAATGTTTCACAGGGATAAGATAAAAATAGAATAATCTCATATTTAATGCCCTGATTAAAGGAAGACCAAATAATGTAAAATAAAAGTCATTTGATAAGAGATAAATATCTTGTCTCCTGGTTGTTGTTGTTTTGTTCCTCCTGCATGGTACTGCATTGTCTACTATATTTATGCTGTCTCAGGTTAGTAGTTGTCCACTTTCTTTTCTTGCATTACAAGTTGCCTTTGTTCAACAACACTAACCTGACCAGAATTTCTGTCACTAAGTGATGTGGTCCTCAAGTGAGCATACCGGTTAGCAACAGCAGTTTGAGTATTCCCAGTTACATTTCTCTATTAGGCCAAAACTATACCATCGTTAAGCCAGGATCCTGCCCTGCTCCGCTTGCTTCTGCTTTCCCAATCCCTGCTCTTTTTGCCCATCCTGCTATCCACTGCCTCTAGTGTCCATACCGTCCCCAGCTAACTTTCGCCATCTTTCTCCCATTGCTGACAAGGCAATCTAGTCTAGCTCTTAGTGAGTCAGTGGGCTGTACAATGCCCTGGAAGGCTTCAGAAAGGCTGTGCACAATGAGGAGCTGAAGCCAACAAGAGCCCAAGCCAGCTGTTGACTCGTCAGCAGTGACAGGAAGATGAGGAAAGTCAGCTGGGGGTGGTAGGTAGGGACAATAAGTGCAGGGCATCCAAAAGGGCAGACATGGGGTACAGGCAGGTGGAAGGTCCCATGCAGGAGAGCTGTTGAGTGCCCACATTTTGGTCACATGACAGAAGGGGCAGTTTAATATCTGTTATTTCAAGGACCAGTTCAAAATATCATTTGTTCAGCAATGATATAAGTGAGGGCCACCTATATAGGTTACTTAAACATTATTTCTCAAGGGATTAAGATCACTGCAGCATTGCGTACAATATCTAGATGACAGTTAATCCATGTCAAATGGTCTTCTACACTTAATAATGCTGTTCTTACCTTTAAATGGGTCAAGTTTTGGTTTTGTACCCTCTTTCTCACTCAGCTTTTGTCGGCGCTTCCCAATTTTCTTGTTTCTGTTCACAATGTATTTCTAGGGAATGAGAATAGACAATATTAAATATACAAGTTACTGGCCTTAAATTATAAATAAAAGCAGCCCAATAAGATATGTTTTTGCCAACTACACCTCCAGCCTTATGGCAATGCAATATTCCCAGAAAGATAGTTAATAGTTTAGTAACAATGTTCAATTTCAATTGCATTTTTCCAATGAAAGCCTTACTTACCACTTATGAAAATGTACAGCAGAAGCATTTCCAGTGGCTCTAACAAATCATTTATAGCAATTATAAATTTAGTTTTACAAAAACCCATGAACTAAAATGTGTAACTCTTGAAGAAACCTTAACATCTTGTCTAATTGGAAATTTAACTATTTAAATGAGTAATGAAATATTCAATCTAGATTTTATGTTACAGAGGTATTTATTTATTACTAGTAACCTATGACTATCACTAAATGTTGTATCTTATGATTCTTGATGAATGTATTCTATTTTATTTTTCTTTATCTACATTGAGTATATATGCACCAAAGACAAATTCCTTGTGTGTCCAATCACACTTGGACAATAAAGAATTCAATTCAATTCTATTGTATTCTATTTTTAATTGCTTGGAGTCTTTTGGAGTGAGTTGTTACAATAAATCTAAGTAATGATAACAATAACAAATATTTTAATAGTTTTGCATTTTTTTGAATGATTAAATTAATTAAACTGTTCAACACAGTGCACACAGTTAATTGTTTTTCATTATTTATATCAATTTGGATTTTCTGAAGATATACCTGCAGGAATTCCACTGTCTTATCAGGTAATTTGGTTCCAATGTATTGCAAGACTTCTTTGTGAAATTTACTTTGCAAATGTCTCTCCATTTCTTCATTCTCAAAAGTTCGGAACTTACAGATAGAGCAGGCAAACTGAATTCTACAAGAAACCATTTTGTTATAAAATGTAGTTTCAAAAGTATGAAGCAGTATGAAGTTAAATTTGTAAATTAATAAATTAAGCACAATTCATCCCATAAATTTGACCAAAACCAAGACCTAATTTAATTTTGAAGTGTTTTCTCCAACATAACATACAGCATTTTAATAAAGCAAATACAGCAAGTATCCGGGTTAAGAACGCCCTGATCCAAGGATGAACCATAGTAAAGAATGGAGCCTACTATAGCAAAATTCAAGTTAAATATAAAATAATTCCAAATAAATAGACAACAAGTTGTTCGTTATGCAATACTACTTACACAGTATCTCACAATAATACTGTTCTGTGTTACATACACATTCAACTTAAGGACAGATCTTGGGAATGGAGCTTGTTCTTACACTGGGAAGTCTATGTAGCACATCCTTAGATTGATAGCAATAGCAATAGCAGTTAGACTTATATACCGCTTCATAGGGCTTTCAGCCCTCTCTAAGCGGTTTACAGAGTCAGCATATTGCCCCCACAGTATGGGTCCTCATTTCACCCACCTCGGAAGGATGGAAGGCTGAGTCAACCTTGAGCCGGTGAGATTTGAACCGCCGAACTGCAGATAGCAGTCAGCTGAAGTGGCCTGCAGTACTGCACTCTAACCACTGCACCACCTCGGCTCTTCTTACATTTTCATTTTACCATTATAAAAGAAACAATATTTTAGCAGTATTTTTTTTCAACAAGACACTATCTTTACTCTCATAGATATTTTTCTGGAAAAACACTGCATTGTTCTATATTACATTCATTTTTGCAACCCAATTAAAAATACATCTTAATGGTTACAATATTTTTTGGTTTATCCTAAACAGTAACATACAAAATACAAAAAGAAAGTGGGAAACAATTTTTGAACAACTGAAAAATATATTATTAAACAGCAGCATTTTAAGGTTTTCCACTTTTTTATATTACATGTATTTAGTCTATGCAGTCAATTAGACAAATATTTAGTAGGCATATTATAGAATAAAATTGAATACAAAATCCCAATTTTAAAATCAGTTTTTTGTCTGTGTTGTGTGTTTTAATGTTTTTTATAGTACCATGTTTCCCCGAAAATACGACAGGGTCTTATTTTCTTTTTACTTACAAAATATGGCCTTGGGCGTATTATAGGGGAGGGCTTATTGTTTTGGGGCTGCCAGGCGGCTGCTCCCTTGTGAACTGGCTCCCGAAGAGCCGGGCACAGCCTCAGGGGTGAAGCAGCCATGAGGTGACCATGCTCACGAGCAACCGCCCGGCAAACCCCCTCTCCAGCCAGGCAGAGCACCAATCACTGACCTAGGGGGTATCCCTAAGGCGCCAAGCCATGTGGCGTTCTGCCCGCTCCCCAGCTTGGCACATTGGGAATACCCCCTAGGTCAGTGCATGGAGCTCTGCCTGGCTGGAGAAGGGGGTTGCGCAAGCGCCTGTTTTGCCCCCAGCAGGCATGCCTCCTAGCCTCAACATGTCCGGTCCCAGCTCTCCCTGCAGCAGTTGCCACTGCCGCGCTCTGAGCATAAGGTCCTCTCCGGTTCCAAACTCCAAAAGTCAGCTGCCAAGTCTTCCAGCAGTGGTCGCTCTAGGAGTGCGCTCTATGGTTGTGGGCTGGCTGCTGGAACTCTCTGCTTGTGCAACCCCCTTCTCCAGCTGGGCAGAGCTCCATGCACTGACCTAGGGGGTATCCCTAATGTGCCAAGCCGCGGGAGCTGGGGAGCAGAGCGCCACATGGCTGGCGCCTTAGGGATACCCCCTAGGTCAGTGAATAGTGCTCTGCCCAGCTGGACAGGGGGTTTGCTGGGTGGTTGCTCGTGAGCATGGTCACCTCATGGCTGCTACGCCCCTGAGGCTGTGCCCGGCTCTTCGGGAGCCAGTTCGCAAGGGAGCAGGTGCCCGGCAACTCCCCCCTCCGGCCAGGTAGAACGCCACTCCCCAACCTAGCAGTATCCCGAAGACGCCAAGCAATGTGAGCGCCTTTCTCCCCCCGAGCTCCTGCGGCTTGGCGCCTTCAGGATACCGCTATGTTGGTGAGCAGTGCTCTGCCTGGCCGGAGGGGGAGGGGTTGTCCAGGGGGGTTATTTTCGGGGGTGGGCTTATATTTTTGCCCACGTGAAAAATGTGGCAAGACTTTAGTTTCAGGACAGGTCGTATTTTCGGGGAAACACAGTATTGAACAATTCAGATCTGTAGGTGCTGTTTTTAATAACATTAGTCCAAACTAAGTTTGATTTAAAGTGTTTTTTGACAATTCATTTTAAACACTTATTGGGACTTTTTCATTTTAGTACCACTGAAATTCCTTATTAAAATATGCAAAAAATCAATTGTAGCTTTCAAGTCAATAACATATTTTTAAAAAACAAAAATTTAGAATTTGATGCAGTTACATAGCTTATGTAACCCTTGATATAACAAGTTTCATCTTTTCCTATGAACCACAGGAAAATAGTTTTAAAAATGTGAAAAATGGTAGTAGAATATAAATGTTTATTTTGTATATATTGTACACTATAGCAAATATTAATAAGAGTTGAAATAATTGCCCTATAAATGGGGACACAATTAAGGAGTTTGAATATATTTGTCTATCTGTTACATCTTTGCAGAAATCTATGATTATTAGCAGATATTTAGATCAATTTCTGTATTCCTAAGTTATATACCTTATCATCTATATTCCTAGTATTTGTAAACTAGGAATTGTAGATGTATCAAACACCTGACTAGATGATAGATTACATGCATCAAACCACAAATAACTGACTGACAATTAGATCAACCAAAACAGAGTTAACACTATTCTCAAAAAGAATGCTAACAACCTGATGACTGCAAGAAATATAAATCCTTCCATTCTTCACCATTCAGCCAGAACTGAAGAAGCTTCTTGGATGAGAAGCAAAATATCTTCAAGGAAAAACAAAGTCCAGTTGTCTTTTAAAAAGCACCTTTGCTTATCTAGTGATCTGCCTTGAGTTGGTGAGGTCAAAGTCTCCTGCTAAATTACTGCCTGTAAGAGGCTTGGTGGAGGTTTGTTGCATGGTCTAGCCATAGCTGGGCTTAAGTACTACTGGAACACAAATGTGTCCAGTTATGTTGTTCTGGATGCATCTGTGGTACTCATGAATCCAAATGTACTAGAAATGTAGTCTACAAATACAAGAGGCATATATTATAAGACCTTACAGAAAGATAAACTTCCACAATTACCATCAATGGGGTAAAAAAGACATCAAAATTGCCCATCCAAAGTAGGAAGCCTGCCTCTACAACTGCAATGCTTTCTAACAGAAGCAGAGATGGTCATAAACCCTATAAATGCCAAGCAAAACAGTCAAAACTATGAAAATGAACAAGCAACATATTACCACTGTGGCACTCAGAAAACAGTTGGCAGGAGCCCCCATTGCTTCATACAGAATGCTACAAAAAGCATAGCTCGCTCCAAAATTCCAAGCACTGAAACATTACAGTGCCAAAGAGACCAATATTGTATGTTAATCACAGCAATCATATTAAACAATACAGGGTATTTTCTTCTGACTATAATTTCAGAAATTTAGAATGTTTCAAACTAGTGATACCTAATCACAAGCATATTAATAATACTGAAATAAATATTTTATACCAGAGAAACACACCACCTCAGACTGCAGATTCGCATATATCCCACAAAAGTTTGGCTATAAACCATAAAGGCTTCAATAATTGTCAACAAAGTATAATACATGAAAAATGGTAATTAAATAAGTAAATAACTTGAAAATAATTAGTGACATGTAATTATACATTTATCTTTATCTATAAATTAGTTTAATTTTTTTCTTCACCCCAGCCACTAGATTTTGATATGTAGCTCGGTAAGTACAATCTTATGCATCCCTACTTTAAACTGATTTTTGTTTGTTTTAATTACCTGTCCATTGCACGGTCACGCATTCTATCCCTTTGCCTCTGTTTCTCTTTTCTTTGTTTTGCCTCTTCATCATCATCACCACCGCCATCACCAGTTGCTACAGAAAGTTATATTTAAGAGGCAATATTCGTTTTAGAATGTTTTTTTTAAATTCTACATATTCTCTTTGACCTATATGCTGATAATCTTGAGAATATTATTAAGAAAGAATTACCACAATTTCATATCTAATGTAATTTCAAACATTTATTTATACATCATAGACTCAGACATATATGCAAAGTCTTAACACAAAATACGAAGTTGACCTAATTTGGCTAATCTGAAAAGATAAGCAGTTTCAGACCTGTTTAATACCTGGATGGGAGATCACCAAGAAACAGCAGGGCTGTTCATTAGGCTGAGAAATCAAAGTAAACATGTAATGAAAGCTGGCAGTATAATGTAATAGTTAAAGTGTTGGACTAGAAGCAAGGAAACCTAGTCCACACCCAGCCAGAGAAAATTTCTAGGTTGCTCTCTCTTTCAGACCAACCTACCTCACAGGATTTTTGTGCAGAAAAACAAATGGGAGGACTTTTTTTGCCATCCTGAGCTTCTAAATGAAAGACAAGTTACAACTCAGTCATTCAATCGTACTGACAAGGAAAATAACATATTTGAATTTATGATGCCAGTAGGAGCTGAATTCAAAGCTGCTTCAATTTTGATAAACTAACAACAAATAAAATACTGCTTTCAGTTCTTCTGAGGTGTTGCTTATAAGCTTTTAGGGCAGACCTCACCAACTATTTTGAAACAGTAGGCACATGTAGAATTTTGAGACCTCTGGGATTTATGGGAAAAGTCAGAGATATGAATGGAAATATGGATTGTTCCTGAGGCTAATGGTTGTCATCTATATTTTTTTCAATTAAAATAATCTAAAAATATAAAACTAGATGAAGAAGGAAGCTTCCAAGGAACATGTTCAAGATTTCTAGATATCTGGTGTATTATTACAATATTAACTTCTAGATTTAATGAGGCCATAACCATGGTTATCGATAAAAAGGCTATTACTATATTCTAATAAACTAAAATGAAATCTTGATTGAGCAGACTAATTGAGAAAAGCAAAATTTATTATTTGGGAATCTCACTGAATTAAACAGAGGGCATTGTGGAGATTTGCATCATTTGTGGATGTCATACCAATGACACAGCAGACATTTGTTTCACTGAATCCAGTTTGTTATATCAAGAGGTGGTAAACCTATGCAAGAATTGTACAACTTATTTATTTATTTATTTATTTTAAAAATGCATTCTAAGCAGGAAAGCATGGATACTGGAATGCTATCCCCAAAGAAATAATAATAATTCAATCTAAAGTTAATTTATGTTTCCAAGTAAAAAGAAACATAGGTCTTTCAATTGCATCTATAGATCTTACCCTACTTTTTTCTTTTGAACGCTTCATTTCCTCCTTTATACTCCTTTAAAAAAAGAGAAGGAAGAAACAACACATTAATTCTACAGTTATAGAGGAATTTATGTAAGTGTGTTATCAATGATTTCTTATATTGATTGAAAAATAT